GATTAAGGCTAGCGATCGCTACTTTAGCTCTTCTGATTATAAATCGCGGGTCGATTGTCGATGAAAGAAATTCGGGTTTCGCTTCAACTTATGAGAGTCGTTTGGTTTTGATTGTTCTTGGAGTAGTTGAAGCATTGACTTTAATAATATGGATTCTAATACGTTTCGGATATCCAAAGATAGTAAGGAATTTTACTTGGCTCGATACAATTTGGTGGTGGCGTATTAAACCGCTTGATACCAAAGGCATTGATGGTGAAGCGGTCGGATGCTTTCGTTATTTTGCTTGGGAGAGTTATAGTATGTGGTTCAGACATGGTGTTGTAAAGTATGTTGGTGAGGTGGATGAAAATGGTTATCCTCATGGGCTTGGCGAATGGATTGATGATTCATTCGACGGTGAATGTTTAAAAGGTATTTGGGAATATGGTGTACCCATTGGTCCATTCCATTCAAGAGGTTCAGGTACCGGCGATGCGTTTCATTCTGTTCGTGTAGGGCTTGTTAAAAATCGGCACACACCTTGGGATGAATGGAGAGCTTTCCCCAGATCATATCAGAGTGGAATTGAAACCCTCGTAGCATCCGTTGAATGTTCCGTTTCTGGAAAGTATTTTAAGCATCTCCCTCGCGCTAATATAATTTTACCACCAAACCCACAAAATTCAGCTGAAGATGATAATGAAAGCTATATATCACCGATTGAATATTGTCTTGGACATTTGATGACTTTTGCATCTGCAATGGGCACTGATTTTGCAGCGAAAGAAATTTCTACAATCACAATAAGACTCACAGATAAAGGTTTAGCCATCACGGGATATTATCCGATTAGTTCAACTACATCAAGGGACGAAGTAGTTGTTAGAAGGGTACCAATAAAGGATAAGTTGAATTATTCTAAAAAAGAGTACGTTATTGAAGTTGACGAATGGCATCCATCAGGTAGCTTTTCCCCATATGCTTCGACTCATTCAATAAACCATAGCATTCAAAGAAGCTCACAGGTAAAATTCATAGGACTAAAACTATTTGATTTTTATTTTCAATATATGCTTGCTTATGAAAATTTGTGAAATGTGTGAATATTAGGAATGCATTATTTTCATTCACGGATTTAATTGTCCATCAAAATTTGCAATAGAAACATTAGGCCAATTTCTTGCTCTTGCCGATTTACCTGATTATATAAAGCCATTTGTATTTTCTCCACCCGGTGCAAATTCATTATGGTATTTTGGTTCTAAAAGTCTGGGCTCTTCTGAAGAAGCTATGAATGGTA